CAGTATTCACAATCCCAATTGATTTCTGATATTTATAATTTGTGTCTTCTCTCTCTTTTTCTTAGTTAGCTAGACTTATCAGTTTTATTGATCTTTTTAAAGAACCAAATTTTGGTTTCATTTTTTTCTGTACTGATTTCTTATTTTCAATTTCATTGATTTCTGCCTTAATTTTCATTATTTGTTTTCTCCTGCTTATTTAATTTTTTCTTCATTTCCTAAGGTGAAAGCTTAGGTTATTGGTTTCAGATCTTTATTCTTTTCTAAAGCATGGATTCAATGCTATAGATTTATCCCTAAGCACTATTTTCACTATCATCCCACAAATTTTGAGAAGTTGTATAATCAAGTGTTGTTATCATTTTGTTTTTCTTTTGTTAGTTTGACAGTTACACATTCTTTTAATGTGCTACTTAGAGACTATACAAGAAATTGCTATCCTTGATTTAACAAAAGATACCAAAATCAACAGACTATTTGACCCACCTGCCAAATACTGCAAGGACCTGGGGGCACTTTAAATCAATTTGACCACACACTCCACCCTGAATGCAATTGTTGTTATGTATTTTAAACCCCACTGTTTTATGCATTTATTTAGATTTATCTATATTTTTATTTGTTTTGTTGCTCATTGTTTCTTCCTGCATCTCTGACCTTCCATTGGTGATATTTCCTTCTCCTGAAAAACATGCTTTAGTAGTTCCTTCAATATGAATTTCCTAGTGACAAATTCTGTCAATTTCTTTTTTGTTGTTGTTGTTTTTTGCTGAGGAAGATTCACTCTGAGCTAACATCTATTGCCAATCTTCTTCATTTTTCCCCCTAAAGGCCCCAGTGCATAGTTGTATATTCAATTTGTAAGTCCTTCTAGTTCTTCTATGTGAGCCGCTGCCACAGCATGGCTAGTGACAGACGAGTGGTGTCATTCCATGACTGGGAACCAAACCTGGGCCACTGAAGCAGTGAAAGCGCCAAACTTTAACCACTAGGCCTTCGGGGCTGGCTCTCAATTTCTCGTTTTTAATTTTGTTTTTTCCTCCATAATTCTTTCAGGATGCCTCACTCTGTATAGAAACCTAATTTGTCGGCTAATTTCTTTCAATAAAGATTCTATTCCACTTTCTTCTGGCTTCCACTGTTGCAGCTGAGAAGTCAGCTTTCTCTAATTATTAGTTATTTGAAAATAAACTCTTATTTTTCTCTGGATGCTTTGTTTTCATGGTTTTTTGTTTGTTTCTTTTTCTGCATTTTCACTATTATATGTCTGAATATGAATTTCTGTTATTTGTCCTGCTTGGTGTTTGGCAAAGTCTTAACTGCTGTCTTTATTTTTTATTAGTAATGTTTCCATCATTGTTACTTCAAATTATTTACCTCTCCTATCAGATATTTTTCACTATCTAGTAAATTATTTGAGGCTTTAAAGAACTTTCCTAAAAAATTTATCTAGCTATCCTAGATTAATTCAGTTAGAAAGATTGGTCTGAATTTCTGAGTCTGCTATTAAACTCTAGATTCAAATTTTAGTGGCATTGCAGAAGATGTGAAGCACAAGATGAAAATGAATGTAAGACAAGATGACAATTACAGCAATCCAATAAAAACATGATGATGGCAAAATCTAAGAGAGAACCAACGGGTGATGAAAAAGAAGTGAGACTGAAGAGATTTAAATGGGTAAATTGAAAAGACACAGTGAACTATGTTCATGTTAGTAGGAAGAAGGATGAGTAGGACCCCTGTTGGCCTGGAAGTATGGTAGTGCCATTCAGTAGGACAGGAATTATAGGAAGAGGGGAAACCTGAGTAATGCTTAAATTTGAGACACGTGAAATCTCATCTTATCTGCTGTGCAAGGATATATCCTGAAGGCAGTGGCGGGGGGGGGGGAACAAAACATTGATGAAACATTGAATACAAGAGAGCATTTGGGTCTACATACACTGATTAGGATGACATCAGTATATAAACAGTGGTTCATAATACATACACAGTTCATAATACATACAAAGTGCACAATACACACACAGTTATTCATAATACAAAGATGATATTAACCAGGGCCAGATGAAGAGTAAGAAGAGAGTGACAAGCTTAAACCAGGTTATAAGTGCAATTTATTTAGTTATGTTTATTGAGATATAATTGACATATAACATTGTGTAAGTCTAAGGTGTACAATGTGTAGACTTGATACATTTATATTTTGCAATATGATTACCCCCATAGAGTGGTAATAATTCTTTCCTGTCACATAACTATCATTTCTTTTTTTTGTGGTGGGAACAACTAAGATCTAGTTTATTAGCAACTTTGAAGTTTATAATACAGTATTATTGTTTACAGTCACTATGCTGAGCACTACGTGTCCAGGACTTATTTATCTACTGATTGCAAGTTTGTACCCTCAAACAACATTACTCTAATTCTCCCACCTGCCAGCTCCTGGTAACCATCTTTCAACTGTCTGTTCTTAAGATTTTGGTTTTTTTAGATTCTACATATAAGTGATATCATACAGTATTTTTCTTTCTTTGTCTGTTGTATCTTACTTAGCATAATACTCTCAAGGTCCATCCATGTTGTCACAAATGGCAGGATTTCCTTCTTTCTCATGACTGAATAATATTTTGTTGTGTGTGTATATGTGTTTATATATATATATATGTATATCACATCTTCTTTATCCATTCAGCCATTGATTGACACTTAAGCTGTTTCTATATCTTGCCTATCGTGAATAATGCTGCAATAAACATGGGATATATCTTAGATATCCTGTTTTCACTTCCTTTGGATATTTACTCAGAATTGGAATTCCTGGGTCATATGGTAGTTCTATTTTTAATTTTTTGAAGAACCTTCATACTGCTTTCCATAGTGGCAGAACCAATTTACATTCCCACCAACAGTGCACAAGGGTTTCCTTTTCTCCACCTCCTCACCATCACTTGTTATTTCTTTTTTTCTTGATGATAGCCATTTAAGAGGTATGTGGTGATATCTCATTGTGGTTTTGATTTTCATATCACTGATGACTAGTGATGTTGAGCATCATTTCATGTACCTGTTGGCCATTTGGATATCTTCCTTTTAAAGTGTCTATTCGGTTCCACTGCCCATTTTTTAATTGGATTTTTTTGATGTTTTTTGTTATTGAATTGTGTGAGTCTTTTATATATTTTGATATTAACCTCTTATCTAGTATATGGATTATAAATATATTCTCCCATTCTGTAGGTTACCTTTTCATTTATTTTTTTGATTCTTTTGCTGTGAAGAAGCTTTTCAGTTTGATGTAGTCCCACTTGTTGATTTTTGCTTTTGTTCCTTGCGTTTTGATGTCACGTTGAAATAAACGATTACAAAGAGCAATGCCAAAAACCTTCTTTCTTATGTTTACTTCTAATGTTTTACAGTATTAGGTACTATATTTAACTCTTTCATCCATTTTGAGTTAATTTTTGTGAGTGGTATAAGATAGGGGCCCAATTTCATTTTTCTGCATGTAGTCATCCAGTTTTCCCAGCATTATTTGTTGAAGAGACTATCCTTATCTCATTGAGTGTTCTTGGCTCCTTTGTCAAATATCAGTTGACTGTACACACAGGGGTTTATTTCTGGGCTCTCTATTCTTTCTCATCGGTCTCTGTGTTTTTTTTTATGCCAGTCCCATACTGTTTTAATTAACATAATATTGTAGTATAGTTTTAAGTCAGAAAATGTAATGCCTCTGGCTTTGCTCTCCTTTCTTAGGATTGCTTTGTCTATTTGGGGTCTTTTGTGGTTCATACAAATTTTAGGATTCTTTTCTCTATTTCTGTGAAAAATGCCACTGGAATTATGATGATGATTACCTTGAATCTATAGATGGCTTTGGATAGTGTAGATATTTTAACAATATTAATTGTTCTGATACATGAACATGGGATATCTTTCCATTTGTTTCTGTCTTCTTCCATGTCTTCCATCAAAGTCTTGTAGTTTTTATTGTATAAATCTTTCACTTTCTTGGATTAATTTATTCCTAAGTATTTTATTGTTTTTGATGCTATTGTGAATGGATTAGTTTTCTTTATTTCTTTTTCAGAGGTTTCCATTGTTAGTGTATAGAAATGCAACTGATTTCTGGATGCCGATTTTATATCCTGCCACTTTACCAAATTTATTGATTGGTACTAACAAATTTTTTGGTTAGTCTATCATCTGCAATAATGACAATTTTACTTCTTCCTTACAGTTTGGATGCCTTTTATTTCTTTGCCCTGCCTATTTGCTCTAGCTAGGACTTCCATTACTATGCCAAATAAGAGTGGTGAGTGTGGGCACCCTTGTCTTGTTCCTGATCTTAGAGGAAAAGCTTTCAATTGTTCACCATAGAGTATAACATTAGATGTGGGTTTGACATTTACAACCATTATTATGTTGAGGTATGTTCCTTCTACACTCAATTCGTTGGGGGTTTTCATCAAATTCTTTTCCTGCATCTATTGCAACAATCAGTTGATTTTTACCTTTCATTCCATTAAGGTGATGTAGTACATTTATTGATTTGTATATGTTGAAATATCCTTGCATCCCAGAGATAAATCCCATTTGGTCATGGTGTATAATCCTCTTTAATGTGTTCTTGAATTTGATTTGCTAATATTTTGTTGAGAATTTTTGCATCTACATTCACCAGGGATATTAGTCCATAGTTTTCTTGTAGTCCCTATCTGGCTCTGGTATAAGGGTAATGCCTGTCTCATAAAATGAATGTGGGAGTATTCCCTCCTCTTCAAGTTTTTGGAAGAGTTTGAAAAGGTTGGTGTTAATTATTCTTTAAATGTTTGTAGAATTTCCCATTGAAGCCATCTGGTCATGGAGTTTGCTATGTGGAGTGATTTTTGATTATCAATTCAATATCCTCACTTATTATTGGTCTTTTCAGGTTTTTTTCTTTTCTTCCTGATTCAGTCTTGTGTTGGTTGTGTGTTTCTAAGAATATATCCATTTCTTCTAGGTTATCCAATTTATTGGCAGATCATGACTGGGAAAACCTAGAGGAAGAATTGCGATTGCTCATTGATGGGAATTATGAAGACACCGTGTCTTCGTTGCAAATGGATGAGGTGAGAAAACAATTACAAAGTCTCTTCCATGAAAAGAAACGGCTCCATAAACCACATGATAATGAAAATAGCAAATCGGACGTCATAGAAAATGGAGCCTTCCTAGAATTACTGCAGCGTCTACGCCTAGAACATTACTACCCAAAAAGGATGAGCAAAGCTGACTTCCATCTGATCTACAAGACTTCTGTGTACAACACCCAGACTAGCTCTGAATGTGAGCTTCCCTTCTATTTTCTGCAGAAACTACTGATGCTGGATTATGCGCTGAGATACCTGGTCTGCAAAGATGATGGAAACACAGAGAATCATGTCTGTTCAAGAGCCTCAAATCAGGAAAATGAGCCTTTTGATCCATAGGAAGACTTTGTGGAAGACAGTGATAGTCCCACTAATCCTGCAGCCACAAAACCCAGGCCCCATATTCACCCTATGGACATTCAGATGGCAGTACTTCACTGTGCAGATGATTTTGCCAGACAATATATTTTGACCAAACTTTCCATTTGTCAGTTTGCCCTCCCCCTTCTCATACCTAATCCC